TCGTGTATGTCATGAACGTTTGGTTGGCAAACATAGGTGAAGGGTTGGAGGTCCTGTTGGGAATGGATTTCATGTATGCGGCGGGGGTACGCCTGTGCATGCGAGAAGGTTTGGTGAGGATGCCTGATGAAGAAATGGTGGTAATGTGCACTGGACCAAATCGCGTGCGAGTGGGCCTGGATGTGCCAGTACACCCCGATGAGACTCTGCATCTCCAACCAGGCGAACATGCAATTGTCCGAGTGAGGTATGGCCAGACGAATCCTCAACGGGAAGTCGTTTGGCCGGGCGATGAGATCGCTGGGTGACCCAAGTCATTTACGCCTCGAAATCATGGGCGGTGGCTGTCAAGGTGGTTAACATTTCGCAGTCGAGACTATGGTTAAGTACTGGAACTGTCGTGGCAAGGATTGTGGAGTATGGTTACTTCCCCCAGGCGGGACGGTTCGTTCGGCCGGGAAGGCAGCGATACAAGGAGTGATCGCAGCTGATCTATGAGAATACCAAATCCATTGAGCGGCAGAGGTATAAACGAAAGCTGGCTGAGTTCGAAGAATCCCTGCGACCACCTTGTGTACTGGCCCCCGAGTACTGATGGCCTTCAAAGTTATTGTTGCGTCCGGAACCAGGAACCACCACTGCCCGCGTGGCCTGTCTCCAAGGCAAGTCCGATCGGCTAGAGACAGGGAAGTGTATGGTCAAGATGACTTCAGATGCTGGAACCCAAACGTGCGAGACCTGTGACGTATCGACGCAGACGGACTCCGGATGGGAGAGTGAATGTGTGAACATCCCGTATGCGAGTCGAGACAGTTCGTGGATGGAACACGTAGAACCTGAAAGGTCAGCGGACCCGGCGGAAGAGTCCGGGCGGTCCAACGCGATCGACGTTGGAACCCTGCCAGGTCCCTCGAGCCAAACGGGTGAGCGGACCCCAGTCCAGAAGTTGGAGGCAGAATACATCCGAATGATGAAGGCTACGCAAGAAGAGTTGGATCTAGAACCTGGTGTTTACATCCATGAGGGAAGCGAGTTGATGTCCCAGCTGCGTGATGACCTCATGATGTTGCCTGATTTGAGCGACCTCACACCTGAGTGTGATATCTCTACGGCAGATGTGGGGGTCCCCGGACGGACTACTCCAGCGGAAGAAGAGCATCTAAGGACGGTTCTCAGGCGACATTCCAAGATTTTCTTAGGTGATGGGAATGCGGCACCTGCCCCAGCACGGGGCGTGGTATGCGACATTGACGTCAGAGGAGCCAAACCGGTAGCACTTCGACCAAGATCGATAATCCCTAAGGTTGCGATGAAGGTCTACGAGTTACTGAAGAAACTCCTAGAGACTGGACTCATCGAGATGTCTGACTCTGCTTGGGCTTCGCCTCTCGTGATCGTCCTGAAGAAGAATGGAGTTGACGTTCGCATGTGTATTGACTATCGCCTGGGGAACAGTTTCATTGAGCTGTCGAATTATCCGCTGCCGCTGATTGACGAGCTCCTGGTGGGCTTCGAGCAAGCCATGTGGTTCATGTCATTAGACATGGCTAGCGGATTTTGGGCCATACGTATGACCGAGCGAGCCAAGCGGATCTCCGCGTTGGTGTGTCCATTCGGTCATTTCCGATGGATCCTAATGCCATTCGGTCTCAAGAACGCCCCGTTAATATATCAAGAGAAGATCAACAATTGTCTCTGGGGATTCGTCAGGCTACCGCCAGAGGAAGAGAAGACTGTGGATGCCTACGTTCTGAAGTTCCTAGGTTTAGATCCAGCAGAAGAGGAAGAAGTCCAGCGCGAGAAGTCCGCCCGGGAGGTCCCTATCCTGACAGATAAGATTACGGCTTTCAAGCGGAATATCCCAGCGCCATCGCAGATGGGACCTGTCCTCGGACGAAGTTCTTGTATCGACGACATTGCCCATGGGGCGCCCACCTGGGACCAGTTGTGCGAGGATTTGAACGCTCTGCTATATCGACTACGCTATTGGAATATTTCCGTCAGCCTTCCCAAGAGTGAATTCGGCAAGCTCACCATTCCGTATCTCTCTCATGAAATTAGTGCCGAGCGGATTAGAGCTATGCCCAAGATCGCGACGTCCGTTCAAGAGTTACCGTTCGCGACAACGCTCAAAGGAGTACAGTCTTTCTTGGGAAGCCTAAACTACTACCACAAGTTCACCGAGGATTTCTCGGTAGTGGCGGCGGCACTTCATGAATTGACTGACGAGCAGATCAAGGCTGGAAGGGATTTGTCTAGAGCCAAAGAATCGTTCGACATTCTCAAGCGGGAAATCGTGTCTACGCCTCTGTTGCGTCACCCCGACCGGCACAAGCCGTTCGTGATCATTCCACATGCGAATCGCTGGGCGGCCTGCGCCCGTCCTTAGGACAAGAGTATGATGGGAAGGTCCTATCCGTACGTTTCACAGGACGGGTGCTGAATGAGACCGAGATTAGGTATCACGAGGCAGAGAAGGAAGTGATAACGGTCATGCGAGTATTGGATGTATTCGAGAATCTTGTCAGGGGATGTCCGATCAAGGTCTACATGCGATTTTCCGTCCTGACCTGGTTGCTGAAGGCTAAGAGCGCCGATGGACGTTGCGTCCGATGGGGAGTGATCTTGTCATATTGGGACTTCGAAGTCCACAAGGTTGAGAGCGACGAGGATGGGTTGACTGCTATTATGGGAGCAGGCATCACCCCACGTGAGCACTTGGATGAAATAGCTGAATCCATGATACCACTCAAGGGGCGAGTGAAGCCCCAACCAGTTATCAGTGTGGAGATGTTGGAAGTAGACTTCGATGGTTATGTGTTGAGTTTCGACGGCGCTGCTAAGACGTCTACACGTCAGGGCAGCTGTGGATGTATCATCTGGAAACTCCCCGGTTGGAAGGTAGTGACGGCTCAAGGTTTCGTGCTCGAAGATGTCACTGTCAACGACGCAGAGTACCATGGTCTACTCAAAGGTCTGACCATGGTAGCCGAGCGGGGCATCCCAGATGTGGTTGTTGTCGAAGACTCACGTATCGTGATACAGCAAGTGCAAGGGCTGATTAACTATAACCAGCCCAATTTGCAACGGAGACTAGCAGAGTATGATGTCCTACGAGAAAAGTTCAAGTCGGTCCGGCTGGTACATGTCAAGAGAGAATACAACCAGGCGGCCGACTATCTTACCTCGAAGACATTAGCGGCTGGAGTATCCTGGACCGTGACCGACCCGGCCGAGATGACGCACTTGGAATGTGTGTCCTCGATTCTAGAGAAGCTGGTGAAGCCGGCACCCAGAAGACCCCGCTCGAGAGACACCGCCTGGCGAACCAACTAGTGTTCAGCCAGGATCCGAGTCCGCGCCTCTACCAACCCCGGTTAGAATCATGACGGCCGTGACCCGGAGTCATACTCGCGGAAACCCCAGTCAGAGTGATCCGATGGGACCATTGGAGTATCAAGCGGACAGGTGGAGACGAATCAAGGCGCACCAAGATGAGGATCACCGTCTACTAAATCTCAAGAAATTCCTACGAGGAGAAGTGGATAGTTTCTCTCGCGCGCAGATACGTCGTCTTTCGAAGGAAGCTGACCTGTTCGTGTTGGACAGTCGTGACGTGTTGTTCCGCCTAAATCACTCCGCTCAGGGGAGACCCAGAGATCAGGCGGACATGTTACGATTGGCAGTCCCGGAGACGTTACGCCAGGACATATTGCATTACGCTCATGAGGATTTCCAAGGAAGTCATTAGGGGATAACACGTACGCATGAGAAACTCCGGACAGACTTACTGGTATAGAATGTACGCGGATGTGGAAACGCTCGTCAAAGAGTATATAGATTGCGCTAGCGGAAAGGGGCGCCCTCCTAACCAGGGGCCCTCCCCTGGGAACATTGAGCCGACTCGCCCATTTGAGATTGTCTCTATGGATTTTGTCACCCATTTGCCGGAGTCCGCCCGGGGCAACACTTTCTTGTTGCTTTTCCAGGATATGTTCTCCGGATATGTCATGTGCAAGCCGATGAGCTCAACCACTGCCCAAGAAGTGGCTGAGGCGTATGAAGAACGCGTTTTCCAGAGGTTTCGGGCGAGCTCCATGATCCGCCACAACCAGGATCCAAGATTTATGGGCGAGGTGTTCAGGTGTTTCAGAGAGTTGCTGGGGAGCAAACAGCGAGCCACCCTCGGCTACAGACCCCAAGCAAATGACCAACAAGAACGGTCAGTCCAGACGGTGATTCGAAGTGTGCGTGCATATGTGGCTGAGGCAGATCAGTCCGACTGGGACGATCACGCCGAACGCCTGATGTTCGCGTTGAATACCTCTTTTGACGCAACCCGTCTGGACGCACCGTTTTACCTGGTACACGGTTGGGACGCTCAAGGGACAGTGTAGCAATGCTCGGACGGAACCCATCTGGTGTTGTCGAGCGAACCGCGTACGAGTGGTGGAGGAAACTGCAGCGCGATTACAGCTATGCGCAAGCCTGTGCAGAAGATCTGCAGCGGAAAGCTAAGCGGGATCGAGCGATCACACAAACCCAGAAGTAGAGAGCCCTGTCGGATCGAATCAAGGCGGGATTTCGGTCGGAGACGCGGTATGGCTATACATCCCGAAAGTCCAGCCAGGGTTGAGCCGCAAGCTCGCTCACCTGTGGCATGGACCTTTCCGGATCGCCGAAGTGACCGACGATTTCCGTGTAAGGCTCACGATTGACGACACCGGTTACCGTGTGAACCCATGGGTACACATCAGCCGACTCAAGCCTCGAGCGTTGTTTCCCAAACGACCGACGGTCCGGACGGAGATCGATGATCACGATGACCTGGATGCAGCTCTGCTGCCAGAAAACAGTTGGGAAGTGGATAACACCAACAACGAGTATGAAGACGAAGAGGTTCTGGACCTACGCTGGTCCAAGCGGACCCGCACTTCCAAGCGTACCCGCGAATATCTCGTCAAGTGGAAAGGCTACGACGAGCCAGACTGGGTGCCACTAGCTCAGCTGAGCTGTGGTACCCTGCTCTATGAGTTCAATCAAGGGGCGAAAGCCCGCGCACGTTTCCAAGCCATGCAGGCTGGAGACGACCACCCGAGGTTGTAAGGCTTCGGGTGATTCTGCCCGGTCGGACTGCAAAGTCTGGCCGGGCCCCGCGGCTGAGTAATGACACTCGGCCGAGATGCGTGTTATGATATTGGATTTTATAGGAAATGATTGTTTTCGAGTGGAGTCCAGATGATTGAACCCAAATGGCAAGTGATGGACTTAGTGATTTGGACGAATATGTGGAAGCAAAAGAAGATGAAAATGCAAAAGATGATATTGACTGATTAAACGACAAAGAGGAGACGAACTGCAAAACAACATAGAGGTCTCGATGGGATCGCCCTAGAGGAGAACATCGGCCGCAGGAGAGTGGATGGGGTTTCGACGGCGGACGTCTTCGGGCTTGAGGTGATCACGAACTTCCTTTGGGACGTGTGCGAATCGGTCGATGTCACTGCAATAGGCTGTCCACTGGGTACGCGCGGGGAACTCGCGCTCAGCCGCTTCGACCTGCTGCTCCAACGTGAACTTCCCACCCGAGGAGTTGGGAGTCTTGCGGTGTGCCAAGAACAAGTAGCACACCTTCAGTGGGTAAAGCCTGAAACCAGATTCCCAGACGATAGTCCGCGGAACACCCCTTTGGAACATCCGCTCAAGACGTTTCTCGAAGCCGCGCCCAACCGGCTCATGCCGAGTGGAACGATCCGCGTAGATTGCACTGGATGTAGCATAGGCGTCGCTGCGTGAACCAGCACTCTCACCCTTTTCCGGCTGAGTCTTCATGACGAACCAATGGAGCATGTCCCAGAAGGCTCGAGAGTTGTCCTTCATGAACTGGATGTGCTTATCAATGGCTTTCACAGCCGTAGGCGAGAAATCAGAGCGTAAATGGAAGTACAAGTACTTCTCCCGGTTGGCTAACATGACCTTCCAAGGCCGCTTGGACATCAACGCGAGACATTGTTTCAACATGGGGATCCAACGCCGCTTGAGGAAGACGATATCCGACAATTGGGGCGCGTAGTCTGGGAAGCCCGGAGTTTGACCATCAGTGCCATCTTTCTTGGGGGAGAACCGACAGAGTATCCTGCGGCGACGCCATGAGATGACAACCCGACCAGAGCGTTCAATCACAGCCTTGTCGACATCCGACAGCTCATCATATTTGAGTTGCGCCAGCCGGGACTTGGAGCGACCGTTGCTCCTACGTGGGCGCGGTCGCTTGGATGACGGCGTGTAAGTCGATCCTTTCCCGCCGGAGTCGGACTCAGATGAGCTCCCAGACGA